AGATCCATAATGAGTTTCCTACATGCTAATGATGTGTGTGTGTTTCAGCGATTAGTTTCCAATGTCAACGGTTACCTGTACTTATTCAAAGTGTATTATACCTACCTATTATATTATGTCCTCTACTACACTGCAGACTGTAATCAGTTTATATGGTCTGATTATTTTGTGTCAAATCTGTTTTACATTAAACTCAATATTTTGGCCAATTTCTCCATAATACAACAAATTTGTACTTTTATATCTAGTGTGCTATTGACGTAGCAATTTTAGATGTAGCGGCTTAGACCATTTTATAAATGTGATTGTACTAACATTACCATCATATCCTACGCAGCTTAAAGCTTGTGAAAATTGTTCAAGCAGTAGATTTATGTGTCATAAGGTTGATCGCTTGGATTGAATCAAAAGAGTATTATTTTGTTAATGTTGCATATTTGCCATTTTTATCAATGAATTTCTCTTTGTTTTTTGTTTTATACTTAGCAACACTTCTTGTCCTCCTTGACATATTCTATGAAAACATCAAGAACTTTATATTGGTCATCAATTTGTGAACTGCCCACTGGTATCTTCCTGTTTTAAAGTGATGTAATTATGTCCTGTCTTATTGTGTAACGGGTAAAAATAACATGGTTTTGAAAGAAACTATTGTAACTCACTAGGTTTATTGAGACTGCATTAGACAAGGAGGAAAGGGTGCACACAAGTGCCTTGACTCAATTTTTTATTCCTAGCTTTGTATTTTTCATGTGTGATCTGTTTTTCCTCCCTGTTCTTAGTTCTAACCCCTAAGCATTGAAATTGACCTTACCAACAATGTTGACAAGCTTTGAAATTTAATAAAACTAATATTTGCTTTTTGTATGTTTGTACCTATTTGACATTAATATCATTCTCATTATGTACTATGGTACCACCCTTATTCACTTAAGTCATATCACATGAATGAAGAGATTGTGGAAGTGCAAATGAGGGAATTCTCCTGCTTTTATGCTTTGTAATACAGCCATATCTGCAGTACATGTTACCTTTTCTTTGAGAGAGTGTTGCGAATACAACTCCAGTCGATTCACTACAAACCGGTGCATACAATTTCTGCGCCTAAAATATTGGCAGTATTTTGTATGATCTCCAACATTTCATTAAAATGTACATTTTTAATTTTCAACATGGAATAGTTTGGTCTCATCACTCAATACAGACCAAAATAAGTAGAAACTAATTCTCACTGCATTATAAGTACACCTCTCTTTCTTGCCAACAACCTCTTAATGCATTGCTTGTGATATGCTTTTTGTTAGCAGATAGTTTTCTCTTCCACCATTTGTGTTTTGGGATAAGGTGATGGTTTAATGTAGTGCTTAGTTAAAAGGGAGAATTTTGCATCCATTATATTGTTTTGTTTGAGCTGTATGAGAAGAACAAAAGGGTGTGATACTGAGGAGAGATAATTAAGAGATGATATATACTGAATAAAATAAAATTATTAACATATTTATATATTTTTCAACAATGAATGTAACTTAATCCTTTAAGAGTGAATGTGTTTGTGTGTAAGTTTTGCCATGTCAACGTAAAAATTGCTCACAATTGGGTGTAATAAGTAATTGGTGGTTTTCTGATGTGTGAGAATGTTGGCTTTGAAATACACTGCCCCCTGCTCAGGGTTCATTTCCTTTGATTCCTTTTTTTTGTGTTGATATATCCTTTTACATCTATAAAACATGACCTAAAGGAACACAAAACTCTTCAACTTAGGACTATTTTTGTACATTTAAAAAAAAAGTGAAGTGTGTCTTTTAATCTCGTTGTTATGGAATGAACGAGATAACCATTACCCTATACAGGGTGGTCCACAGACCCCTTCCTTTATTTTGCTTATACTGTACCGCATGCAGGCATGCGGGCGGGCTTGCGGGCTTGCCTATCGTCGCTCACCACGGCGCCTTATGGCCCCGTGCGAATATGCAACCCGGTCGCACGCCTGCATCCGGTACAGTATACGCAAAATAAAGGAAGGGGTCTGTGGACCACCCTGTATAAGACGCCGTAATTTTTGAGACATGCCATAATTATCGTGAGACCATGAAAGTGAATCACCGTCTGCATGCGTCTGCAACTCGGCCCAAACAAAGCAGAGGCCTGGGCTTCGGGCAGCGCGCTCTCCGAGGTGTTCTCTGGTTCACTAGGGGGGTGGTAGTGGGGTGGTGAATGGTGCGGCAGCCACAGGGCAAGCGCACTGGAGGCGAAGGGGGTGGGGGCCGTGGGGGGCAGAGTGGGTGGGGCCCCTCGAGTCCTGGGTGCAGGAGCACTTGGCTGACGATAGTACTTGCAGCGCAAAGCTCAGCCCCCAGGCAAGGAGAGGAAGGGGGGAAGGTGGGGGAAGGCCGCTGGGTACACGCGCACCGGACAGCCGAGTACGGCTGCACCGGGCTGGGGTACCGACCCAGGTGCGTGTTCCACGGGAACCGCGGGACTTTGTCGACCCTACCTCTGTGTGGCAGCGAGAGCCAGTCGCCGCTATTAAGATTTCGAAGCCGGAGTGTACGAGCCAAAATTATTTTCTGCGGGGCAGTCTCACCCACCAGTCGGCGATTAAGGCTGTTTCAGATCTCCAATAACACGCACTTTACATCATCCACATAAAGATATATGGTACATGTACAATGTAGTTTGTAGTTCTGTACAAACACGTCCATTAAATAATTCATGAATGACAATGTGGGCCACTTCACTACTTGAACGTATCACGACGAGTTGTGACGAACGCAAGGGCCCGTGTACCCACATGGCACTCTCCGCCCGCGCTCTATCATGTCTATCATCTATCAGCGGTACAACGGTAGCGATGGGCGGGCTGGCCGAAGTTATGCAAAGGTAGCGGCCATCGGCCGGCGCCTGCCCTCTGATGTGACGCGTCGGCTGCCAACTTCTTGAAGATGCTCTGTAGCTACCAGGTGAATTCCGAAGGCTGTATTGTACCGCACCGCATGCACGCGTGCGCGCGGGTTGCCTACTCGCTCGAGCCCTGACGGCGCCATGCCATGGTCGAAGACTGTGTCGGCGTCCGCATACGATGCAGCATAACAAGGAAGTTGTACTTTGTTTTTCACTCACTATGCTCACCGTAAAGCGGACGGCAGAGCAGGAGGTGGTAAGTTCCTTTAGGCCCCGTAAGGTTAGGCAACCCGCACACCCGCAGGCGTGCGCCTGCGTGCGAATAAAACTGTGTCTATACACTTGCAAAAAATTATAAAGTGAGCGGCGCGAAACGCCCCCTCCCCCTTCCCCCCTGGGTACGTGTGTTTTGCGTCAGGAATTTTGAGTGTTTGTCACACCTGGGTCCTCTCGTATCAAGGGAGTGCGAATGTGGGGGAGAAAGCACGTACAAGCTTGGATAAAAACAAGAGCGCTCGGGTGCGCGTGTCCTCGCTACTCGCTAGCGGCCGACGGCGCTCCGAGTGCACTTGTACCTAGCCAGGGCGTTGGGCGAGAGGGGGAGGGGGCTCTATGGAGGGAGGAGAAGGGGTAAAGGGGGAGAGGTCGAAAAAGAGAAGGGGAGGGGTACAGCTCTGCAGGCCTGCCGAGTTCCAGGGCACGGAGCCTGCGCGTTCGGAGAGCTGCAAGGCTTCCGCAACGGCGGCGGCGGGCGGGCGCGACCTGCTTCGGATGAGTCAGCCCTGCGTCCGCCTGCGCTGGGCCGCGGATTCTGACGGCGACGCTGGAACATGGAACAACTTGTCGAAACGACAAGCTGTACGTCATCGTATCCAACAGAAACCGGAAGAAGTGAACAGTGGGTGGCTTGCCGATACAGACACACGGGAGCTTGTATGAGGCCCGTAACCAGGGGATGAGGGTCGGGGAGTTATATGACCCATACCATATACGCCCTTTCATATAGGCCTGATGGGTGATGGGTATGCAATTTTCAGTGAACCCCACCTGTAAGAAGGCAAAAATGGCGTTACGTGAGGGGCCTGATAAATTTGTAAAAATGAAGAATTGCATGAATGCTCTTTACCCAGAGGCTCTACCTGACTGAGTTGGTACCTTTGACCCCTCGCACGGCTCGAGCGGGACAGCCGTCTGATTTTATGATTTCGCGAACCAGAGGCCGCCGGCGCGCTGGCGCGCCATGCACCGCTCCAGGTACAAAGGCCAGTTCAGAGCGTGTCTCTCTCGACCACTCGATCAAGGCGTTCCAGGGCATCGCGAATCGGACCGAATTTTCGCGAAATCAGCTGATTGCGGGTGGCGCGAGGGGCGGAACGGAACAGCTGTGGAGGGTGGTGGAGGGATCTCCGGAGGTGGCGGAGGGAGGCGGGCGGGCGGGGTGATGACCCGCATCTCTTTGTTCGACTGGATCAGCGGAGCGCCGGGCAGGACGGCGGAGGAGAGGAAGGTGGTGGCGGGGTCGGCCGCGGGGAGGGGGCGGTGCGCCGCCGCCTGGCCGCGGCGCGGGTCCCTCGCTCGCGCCTCGCGCCGCGCCAGTAGTGTGTGCGGGGCCGTGCTGCGAGCAGGGCGCGGTGATGTGTTTAGCGGAGGTCGGCTGGCAGCGTGCCGCAGCGTGCTAGTGCAGTGCGTAAAGAGCGCGGAGGACGACCTAGCCGTGCCGTGCCGAGCCGAGTCAAGCCGAGCCGCGAGTCGAGCCGAGCCATGGCTGCTGTGATCATGCACCACCCCCTGGAGGCCCGCGACAGGCGCGTGTACAACCCTACCGTCGTGGACAAAGGCTTCTCCGCGCCACTCGCCTCCGTCGAGTCCCTGAGCGACGTCGCGCTCGAGGCGGGACGACGCCCGTCCCCCAGGAACGCGAGGGCGCCGTCGAGCGGCGCGGACTCGGGCCGTTGGAGTCCCAGCACCATCCTGGAGATGACGGACCCGTCCCTGAGCGACGGCAGCGGCGGCGGCGCGTCCTCCGGCATCGACACGGCCTCCTTGTCCGGGGTGTCGGCGCCGGCGCAGCACGGCATGGACGCCGACGACGCGCTGCTGCCGCCCCTCGGCTGGGCGCCCGGGCCGCCCGACAGCCCCGGCGGCCTCGGCAACGAGGTGGACGGCTGCTGGGGCCCGGCCGTGAAGCCCGCCGTGGACGAGCCCATGAACCTGTCCTTCCAGAAGCTCACCTACACCGTGTACTCCAGGCTGCGACTGAGATGGGGTGAGTTACCTTGCGCTTCCTGCCGTGGCCCGGTACAGTAGACGCCCGGAGCCGCAGCCGAGGCTCCCGCCGGGAATGACCAGGAGTCACCCGCGCCGCCACCCGTGAGTCACGCTAATCGCTTGTGCGAAACAGAACCCGGACCAATCGGGCGGAGGGTCCAGCGACTCATGGTGAAGACGGTGGCGACGGTGAGGTTCTGCGAAGCAAAAGGAGAACAAAGTAGAGACGTCAATCGGGAGGGGGCGGTGGAGAACTTGGACTTAGGAGCACAAGCACACGAAAAGAGGCGTTGACCGCTAACTTAATTGTTTTGAGAACATCGTATTTGTTTGAAGAAACACTTCT